CACAATTTTTTCTTTTTGTTTTGCCATTTATTACATCTGTGATTATATCATCCAGAAGTTAAAAAAATCAACTCAGTGGTATGAGTTGATCTGGTTCTTAAAGTATTTTAAGTTGCTGAAAAGTAAATTTAGTGACCACAATTTGTCATAATTTGTCTGGTTTATCATCAGTCTCAGTTTCCGTGTCTCAGTCTCAGTTTCAGTCTCAGTCTCAGTTTCCGTCTCAGTTATTTCTGCATTCTGTTTTTAGTTTTGATTTTTTTTGTCCCACCAGTTGTAACAATAACCTCCTCTGTGGTTCAGCATTGGTGTCATACAAAGATACAACAGAAGAATTAAATGGTATTTTGGGGGTAAAATCAACAGTTTTTAATGGTAAGAATAACTGAGAAATGGTTTCTAACACGTGTCCAATAAACAAATATGAAAATAAGAATTGTGCCTTTTTTTAAATCTGAGTAAACCTGTGGGAAACTGAAGCAAAACAGAAACTGAAATATGTTTTATGCTATGAAAGGGAGAAATATGCTGACATTTCCAGATGAGCTAAAAGAAAGAAATAATGCTCTTTACTTCAGGCTGTGCACTCTAAAAATGAAATGTTGGATTTACTTAACCATGTTATGTTACCTGGTTCCACTTAACTGAGTTGAGTAAATTCAAAGCAACATACTCATGTTCTTTGGTTAAAAAACTGGTATATTGCTTTGAATTYACTCAACTCAGTTAAGTGGAACCAGGTCACATAACATGGTTAAGTAAATCCAACATTTCATTTTTACAGTGTGATGTTGCATGAAGAGGAAGTGCCTGGGCTCACTGCGGACCCTCTGTTCCATGTGAGACCACCAACTGAACCCCTCTTTATTTCAGCTTTTCTATGATTTGTACAAACATTCTCTACATCTGTTCTGCCACGAAACCTTTTCAAATTCAATACATCTTAGTGGAAATGACACATTTCAGCAAAACAAATTGCTCATGTTGTTTGAGTTGCACTTTGTAACATAAAGATTGTTTTGATTCTACTGACTTTAATTACTCCAATGAGAGAACATGATCCATGTAATCACCTACAGATGTTAGTGTTGACCTTTATAAGAAACCCAGCACCATCAGTATTTTACTGACCCAGAGAAAAGACCTTAATGCTGAAACATTATTCTAATAATACTCTTTAATTTCATCTACGGCGCTGGAGGCTGTCCTCTATGTTTAGTTTTTATGTGTTTGTAAGCTTTGGTTTTTCTCATTTCGAAGCACCGAAGAGGAAAAAAAAAGTCAATTTTCTTAAGCAGGATGTTAGCTCTCAGAAACCCTTCTTGTCCTCTGGCTTAAGTCGTGTTGTGATGGGGTTCAGCTGCTTGGCTCAAAAAGAATCAGAGAAAATATGCAAGAATAACAGACAAAGACTTTTCTTTCTTTCTTTTTTTGTCATAAAGACAAGATAAAGATTTTTTTCTAAGGACAAATGTTGCAACTCTTGTGATTCAGTGTGAGCCACTGAACAGATCAGCTGCTGCTTGACCCTTAGCATTTATTAGGTGCAAACGTTTCACCTCATGAAGTATCTGAAATAATATTATTATATTTTTAATTGGATCTTTAAATAAAAGTGTTTTTCTTCAAATTTAAATTTGGGTCTTTAAAATAACAACAACAGAAAAAAAAATAGAAGCAAAGCGTGGTAAGAAGATGATCACCCATCATGTAAAAACAAAAAACAACCATTAACAGCGGTGTCTTTTGAAGATCTGCAAAAAAAAAAAAAAAAAAAAAGTTGACTGGCTACTGAAAAAAAAAGTAGATGCTTTGTGTGTTTAGCTGAAATATTGTGAAGTTTGCTGTCAGATGCAGTTTGACATTCACTGAGGGGACACAAACAAAGGCAAACAGTATGCTGCTGCTTTTGACACCATAATAACCCTCTATTACAGTATAAAAAGCCAAGCATGGTGTGTTTGTGAGGTTTTCATGATGGACAGGTTATGTAGGGTGTCGGTGATGTCAAACAGGAAGTAGAAACATTTAGAAAGACTGTAAATTCATTCATTTGCAGCTAATATGTCAAATGAACAAGATGTTTGATGCTGAATCATCATAATTTTAACCTGAAAATGTGCAAAACTATTTAAATTCAAAAAAGGAAACAACTTTTTTTCTATTCCTCCTCTAACCGGAGTCACAATGAGTTTTCTGCCGTATTTATTTCAGCAAAAATATTTCCGATAGATTAAATGGCATGCTTCATTTTCCACACGCTTTCAGACCACCGCCAAAAACCACAAACTCCCTGGAAAGAAAAAAGATAATTACAATTGATTTGCATTTTTTGTGGACACTTGAGCAGCGCAGATAAAAGCCGTGAGCCATTACCATGTCAACATTATGTGGATTAGGCTGTTAATTAGGCCTCATGCAACCCTTGTATGCATTTCAGTCACAGTTCAGAATACGGATCAAGACGTGGTGCCGTCCTGCTTTCTTTCTGGACAAACACCAGCAAGCTGTTTGATGAATGAGTGAAAACTGATTGAATATATATCAGTATTTAATGAATATGTCTAACTTTGGATAGCATAAACTCACAAGAACTATGAAAGTTATCTGTTTTTTTTAATTTATTTTATTTTTTCCGCTGTTCCTTAAAGGTGCTTCAGCTCATGTTGGAATCCAGCAAAACCAGGAACAAATTGCTCTGGCATCTAAAACTCAAAACTTAATTAACCCAAAGTCACAAAACACAGAAAACAGTGATTCTAAGTGAAGCAAGTTACTTTGCAACTTTGAAAACTTTGAACCCTGACCTGATGAAGTAATATGTCAAAAAAACAGGTTCATTTTTTTTGCAATCTGAGTTCTTCTTTGACCAAAAATAACATCAATTTTCCTTTTTTTAACCACAAAAGGAGAAGCTAATTGTAGCAGCTCTTTTGTTTGATTTTTGGCAACATATAAATAAAATGTTTGTAACAGAATAATTCTATAAAGACAGATAGCTTCATTATATAATCTTCATTATATAAACTTAAGCTTTCCTCTGAAACACATAGGATGTTTAACACATTGATATCAGGTTTAAGGTAAAATAAAACACAAAGTATGACGAACAAATTTCTATTTTACAAGCCAGTCAAGAGTGCTGCAAAAATATGATGAATTATTGAGATAAATAAGTATTAGAAGAAAACGCTTGTCAATCAGAATCAGAATCAGAATCAGAAACACTTTATTGCCATTGTCAGTAAACGAGTTTGACTAGGAATTTGCTCTGGTGTAATGGTGCACATGAGCAAGGAGTAAAGGAAAACTGAAGCTAAGTGTTTTAAGTGAGGAAGGAAAACAAGTCAGAATACAAAACAAAGAATGAGAACAAAAATACAAGTTGATCCATGTTCTGAATTAATACAACTTAATAATAGTTTATGTAACTGCAAATGAATTGTTGGAAAAGAAATTGGCTTTACAATAAAATATTCAGCAAATCGTCCTCAATTTCTCATGCTTACTCAGATCATTTAATATATGCTTTAAGTGGTATAAAGCTAAAATGTTTTTTCCCTTCATTCTAAGAGTTTGATCATTTCCTTTTTGTCTTGAAACTGTAAAAATGCTAATAAATGTTTAGTTTTCAAAATCTTACACACATTCTTCTATGCAGTATTTACCTAAAACTTAATAAATTGGGTTGAAATTCCATTTTTGTATTCTTTTTGAATCTTCAAGTAGGTTTTGCTGTTCTGTCCACATTTTATTTAGTAACTAGAGTGTCTCTTTTTGATTCTAAAGGCTTTAGACCACAGCTTTGACAGTTTTGATAACATTCTGCAAATGGCCTGAGGTGTAATTAGGAAGCCAAAGCGCCCTGAGGAGTCCTGTCAGCCCATGTCTGAGATCTCATCGTGCATTGTGGAGAAAAAAAAAGTGGACTCCGGCGTTCTCCATTGTTTCCATGGATACTGTTTCCTGTCATGCAATTTATCTGCGAGTGAATGCAAATGATCCCAGTGTGCACTTGTCAAAGCACCAAAGGTTTATTTCAGTTGTACATAGCTTGTAAACATATTGGTAATTACACAGGATTGAAAGCAGATCTAAGTATTATGCTATCATGGCTTTAAGTGAGAAAAGTGGAAACGCAAACAGATTTTGATTTAAAGTAAAATAAAATAAAATAAAAAGAAATCCAATCTGAGTCAAAGAGAGAATGCTGTTAAATGAACCAAAAACACTAAGAATCTCAAATCTACTTGCTCTTATAGCGACCAAGGATGGTAAAAAGTATCCGGCACCACAGAATCACATAAAGGGCAAAACTTCTTTCAGACGTGAAACAGCCAACAATACAAACATTCAACCAAAGGTTTTTTCAGAACCCAGTTTTAATAGTTTTGAATGAACAATTTAAGGCACATTAAAAACATTTAATTTCAAATTACAAAGGAGAAAATAAATCCTGGGCCTCTTTAGGATTTTAACAAAAAATTGAAAAATTCTAACCATTAAAAGCAAAAGAAAACAATGTTTTAAACTATCATGAAGTAAAACAAAAAGCCCTTTTTTTTTAGATTATTTATATTACTATGTCATTTAATTATGGCTCCAGTTCCCACAGGTAATCTGAACTGATTTAATATGACAAAACACACAAAATACTTTTCCTGTTTAAGGTTTCACGTCTTGATTTGGTTTAGGTTCATCAAAGTAAATAATGAAAGTTATATTATTTACAAAACAACTGATTAAAAATCACAAATTGAGGCTTTTCTCAAATATGTCGTGGATGTCGATGGTTGTTCTCATCAAGTGTTCCCTAAGAGACATTAAATATCTTCATAAAATTTATTCTATCATAGTTAACCAAATATTTATTCAAACCTTACAATGGACGTGCACGTTTTTAGAGTGAACTGGAGGAACAGTCATGTACAAAAGTACTAAATTCAAATAATTACAGTTTTATCAAAAACCACTGTTTGTAGCACCTTGAGTGTTTTGTGTTTCTGCACAAAAGCACGACTGTGGCTGTGTCCAGAGCATCACCTGGAGCATCCAGAGAGGGGGGTGGAGGGGGGTCAGCTG